AGGTGAACTATTGATATTGTACGAAAAAGAGATAAATCGCTTATATCTCACGAACTATCTAGTAAAAGTGGTCCAAACTTGGTGCGTGATCAGCATTCGATAAGAGCTATGCCCACACAAAATTAAAAGTCTCTAGCTATCATGGTTCTTGAGTTACAGGGGGGTCGGTACTTTTGACAAGTACTGTATAAAAGATTTTTTCAAATTTATGCCATTATAATTAGATAAAACATCTAAGGTATTATAACGCATTAATTTATTAACGTGTATGTACATTCTTTTCTCCATCTATACTATCTTGTTTTCTTCTTTCTTCTTTTACCAGATCTTTCAGTTGTGATCACAAAATGCTTCGCTCTTGTTTTCGCTGTCGCCGATAATAATGGGGCTTGTCTCTCTTTCGGTGGATAGAGATAGCATAAAATTGCTGATTTCTTTCTTTGAAATAAATAGCTTATATCAACAGCATCCTCTAGGATAGCTGGCGTTTGTGCTTCCCGTTTAACATGAAAAAAATGAAAAAAAAATATAAAGAACATCGCCGGCTTTTGCGAAATTTTGACTAATAGAAAACTAAGCTTATGACAATCTGAGTAAGTTTATTACTTGGCACATATCAGCCTTCGACTATTTTTTAAAATACTTTTTCATTGAAGAAAAAATTAACTTTTCTTAATGAAGTCGCAATATGGCATGAATCAGGATTAAAAGTGTATAACTCGACAATCTTAATAGATTTCAAATTCGGTTTTGAACCAAAGAATCTCCATTTAATTGTGCCCAAACTAGTCTAAACTGATTAAGAACATCTATTATTACTGTTAAGCAGATATGCCAGACGAGGATTGGAAATGAGAAACGCAAAAATTTTTTTAATTAAATGGAGATTCTTTTGGTCAAAACTGAATTTTTAAATCTATTAAGATTGCCAAGTCATTCACAATATGGCATGAATCAAAATTAAGAGTGTATGTATACACTTTTAATTCTGACTCATGTCATATTGCGACTGCATTAAGAAAAAGTTAAATGTTTCTTCAATGAAAAAGAATTTTAAAAAATAGTAGAAGGCTAAATTCTGTCAAGTAATCTCAAGCATGAAATTTCATAAGAAATAAGCTAGCTGCACTTGTTATATATACAGGTACTCCGGACAATATTGGTTGATGACTGAGAAAAATCCAATGGTTTTCTTTTTCACTCAGTATTATGTCGTTGTATAAGGAAAATGTAATTTCTTTTCTTCTCTTTCTGATTTGCGGTAATGTATTTAAAACCTATCATATATCAATGTTTAATAAGTATCATTTAATCCGTTACATTGCACGTTACGAAAGCTAATTGATAACTACGAGATGTTGATAAAAAAATATTTCCCATAAGATCTATCAGTAGATGTGTAATTCGAGTGTAAAAGAAAACTATAAATAACGTATTACGTGTCGAGTATAGACTCCTGCGGGGGAAACGTTTTTGTTGCCCCAAGCCCGTAAGCTCAAGCCCGTAAAATTTTTCTTTAGCCCTAGCCCATGAGCCCAACCCCATAAATTCATTTGTCCCAAGCCCGTTTTGTACCGCAAAAGAGAACCACGGCCTTTCCCGTACTTGAACAGTGAAGGAAGGAAAGGAAAATTCGAAAATGGTATCGTCTGATCCAGCCAGCACATAATGGAAAATATGAGAAACTTTTTTTGTGTTTGATCGTTTCCTTGAACTTCTCATCGTCTTCAGAGAATTGTATTCTTTATCTATTCATTATGTCACTTGTTAATGCTAAGAGTAATAATAATTTGAAAACAAAGTTACAAGCATTGGTCACAGCGAAAGATCCAACGATTTCATTCATTAAATCGGCTATCAGTCCCAAACTAGTCTAAACTGATTAAGAACATCTATTATTATTGTTAAGCAGATATGCCAGACGAGGATTGGAAATGAGAAACGCAAAAATTTTTTTAATTAAATGGAGATTCTTTTGGTCAAAACTGAATTTTTAAATCTATTAAGATTGCCAAGTCATTCACAATATGGCATGAATCAAAATTAAGAGTGTATGTATACACTTTTAATTCTGACTCATGTCATATTGCGACTGCATTAAGAAAAAGTTAAATGTTTCTTCAATGAAAAAGAATTTTAAAAAATAGTAGAAGGCTAAATTCTGTCAAGTAATCTCAAGCATGAAATTTCATAAGAAATAAGCTAGCTGCACTTGTTATATATACAGGTACTCCGGACAATATTGGTTGATGACTGAGAAAAATCCAATGGTTTTCTTTTTCACTCAGTATTATGTCGTTGTATAAGGAAAATGTAATTTCTTTTCTTCTCTTTCTGATTTGCGGTAATGTATTTAAAACCTATCATATATCAATGTTTAATAAGTATCATTTAATCCGTTACATTGCACGTTACGAAAGCTAATTGATAACTACGAGATGTTGATAAAAAAATATTTCCCATAAGATCTATCAGTAGATGTGTAATTCGAGTGTAAAAGAAAACTATAAATAACGTATTACGTGTCGAGTATAGACTCCTGCGGGGGAAACGTTTTTGTTGCCCCAAGCCCGTAAGCTCAAGCCCGTAAAATTTTTCTTTAGCCCTAGCCCATGAGCCCAACCCCATAAATTCATTTGTCCCAAGCCCGTTTTGTACCGCAAAAGAGAACCACGGCCTTTCCCGTACTTGAACAGTGAAGGAAGGAAAGGAAAATTCGAAAATGGTATCGTCTGATCCAGCCAGCACATAATGGAAAATATGAGAAACTTTTTTTGTGTTTGATCGTTTCCTTGAACTTCTCATCGTCTTCAGAGAATTGTATTCTTTATCTATTCATTATGTCACTTGTTAATGCTAAGAGTAATAATAATTTGAAAACAAAGTTACAAGCATTGGTCACAGCGAAAGATCCAACGATTTCATTCATTAAATCGGCTATCAGTCGTAGTGATTGTTGGACATCATTTTCTCAAATACAATTATCGAAAGTTTCCCAAGACTACGTGGTTTGTTTATCTTGTGGAACTGTTTTGAAATGGATTAGTGAAAACGGCACGAAAGTAATGAAAAATCACGGTTGTCCGAAAAAAAATGGTATAAGGAGTATCACACCAAAAGGACGTCAACGTACGATCTCATCTTATTGTGATGCACAACCAAATAATTATGCAACAATTAAACACTAACTAACAGAAGCGTGTGTCGAATATTGTGCTGTTGATAGTCGTTCATTTGAATCTGTATCTGGTGACAGTTTTATCAGCGTAGCCAAACAGTTAATGAATGCTGGAGCAATAGTCGGTACGGCTGTACCAGTAAAAGAATTATTGCCTCATCCATCTACAGTATGTCGTTTAAGGGGGAGTTTCCCAATTTACATTTTCCTTAAACCCTCCCACTTTGTAGTGGACACTGAAGTTTATATCTTGAAGTTTTTTTGCTTACCGACATTGTTAGACTGAGGCGAAAAAAATTAATTACTTGGAAAATTTTAGTAAATTTTTCAGTTCGGGACTATTTTTAAAAAAATTCTTCCAGATTCTCTATTCATAATGAAAGCTTGGTTTTTCTTGTAGATCAAAAGAGAAATGTGTGAAGATTATTTAGTACAAAAGAAATGTAAAATTTTATTCTCTTCCCTTCGTGTTATTGGGTAACTAGCGCTAATTACTGTACTCTCTTAAAATCCTGTTTGTAAAATAACGACTCATCTATCAAGCAATTGCCTCAATTAATAGAGAGTTTCACGAGCCACAAGATAAACGGTCTTGAAGTGTGTTTGTATTCCACTAAAAATCTCAAAATGGTTTCTGTTTTCAAAAAACGCGCTCGGAAAGCCTGACCAATTCCTTAATGTATCAAAACCAGACTTACTGAGCAGCCAAAAATGAATTCTAAACATTTGCAGGCCACCTGTCTTGTAGCCCGTAAAATTCTCTGTCGGATGACGTATTGCTTGAATTTAATTGTTGAGTCGTTATTTTACAAATAGGAATTTATTTATAAACTAACGTTAATTAGCGCTAATTAGCCAATAACAGAAAGGAAAAAGAACAAAGTTTTACTTCTAGTAGCAAATGTTCTCCGCACATCTCTCTATCGATCTACACCAGAAGGAACTTTTTATGATGAATGGAGAACGGAGAGAAATTTCGAGAAATTCAAGACTTGAAAATTAGAGACGGCTATTTCACAGCACCTTACGAAATTCTTGTTTTTTCTCTGTAGATCAGTCGCAATGTTGAACGTGTGTATAGTAAATTAAACAACCAATTAATATCATTGTGTGAATCTGTTCAAAATTATTGTATCACGTGCGACTTTTGGACGGAAAGTTTCACAGGTTAAATTCTTAGTCATATCTGCCTGATATTGAATAAGAAATTGTATATTTCAGGAATTCATTACGCAGGTGTAAGTCTTCATTATGTTGATTCAAATTCTGATTTACGCGTGTTCACATTAGCTTGTCAAGCTTACTACTATGAAACACACCAATCAAAAAATATACGTGCGTTCGTTGAGAGAATATTGGATTAATTTTGGCTAAATTTGAGCGATGTTTATACTGTTACTGACAATGAGAATAAAATGACATGTGCATTTAAGAATAATGTTCACCGTATTGGTTGTTCCGCTCATTATCTCAACAAAATATTGGAACATGGTTTCAAAAAAAGGACATAAATTGTGACGAACTACAATCATTGTTTAAGAGTGTTCGTGAGCTTGTTACACATGTCACGTAATACTCTATTGTTTTGTCTTAGTTTATCCGCATGCGAGCTCATTTGTTAATCATTATCATTATTATCATCCATATTTTCTTCCTCTTCTCCAACAAAATCAGTTCGTTACCGTTTAGTTGGTGATGATTGTGGTGTGGATGATGTTGATTGTAAACTATTTTTTCGCTTACTAAATTCTTCACCAACTGGGGGAAAATTTCTCGTGATGTAGATAAATTACGCTGGATAAACAGCAGGTGATTGACTCGCTCAGTTTCTAATCGTGTTCGACGATTAGTGATTGTGTTACCGCTATACAAAAATAAACGTTCAATGGCCGTATTTATAGCAGGAATGCAAGTATTTGTTTAGCTAACTGAGCTAATATAGGATATTGAGTTTCATTCAATTTCCAATAATTGAAAATATTTGTTTCTTTTTCAATTTTTGTTTCATCACATAAATATAAGTTTAATTCTGTTTTGGATGATGCTGGTTTCACCAAATTACCTTTTACAATCGGTTTATCAAATATTTCATCTAATGGGACAATAAGTGTCTTTGGTATTGGATTGACTAGCTTTTTACCATCTTTCGTTTTTGTTTTATCTTGAACATTTGTATCTAATGGTGTCAGTTTATTAAATGCGATTTTCAATAAATTTTCAGCATATAATTTTTTGTCGGGTGTATGGTTAAAACTTTTTAAATTTGGATGCAACATGGTCGCAAGATAATGAACATCTGGAAGTCCCAATAATCTATTACATGTTTTGCATTAAACTTCTTCAGTGGAGTTGTGTGAGAAGTATCGTCATCATTAATAGCTGAACGATTAATCAATAACTGTTTATAAGGTACACAACGTATCACAACGTTACTAGAAATACAATCAGGTCGAGCACGCATATCGATCAAATCGATCTGAAGACGAGTTAGGACACGGGAGATAGTATCGGCTTACTTACAACAGGTGCTTTTACGGGTTTTCGATGCTGGCATGGTAAGCAATACTTCAGCTAGATCTCTACAACAGAACGAAAAATAGATGATAAATAATTCTCTACTTGCATCTTCTGTGTGGCGAAGGAAACCCACAGGTCCAGAAAAGGCTTTCCCGCAATACAATTATTGATGTTAAACTGCTGCCATGTTTAATTCTTTCAAAGGAAAAAAAAAATGATGATTTCATTTTTAGAGTTGCATGCAAATTTGGTAAACTTGCGACCGCGTATACGGTTGAA